AAGAGCGGCGTGATGCCAGCGAGAGCGTGTTTGCTGCCAGGGTCGTGATAAAGAGAAATGAAAATCCCAGTGTTACCTGAGGATCCAGTGCACTTTGCAGGCACCAGAGTTGGGTTTTAAATATTAAAATCTTATGCAAGCACATGTGGCAGAATCAGAAACAATGTTGTGCCTTGGAGGCTGGGTGCTGCCGTGACCGTCACAGGGGTTTGGAGCTAAGCACAGTGCAGAGCGTGTTGAAGGGGCGGATGCGATAGAATTCCCCAGGTTACATTTTGAATGACTTGATACCATATTTTGCAATGAAGCTTTAGCAAGTGGTGGCCCAGGGTGGTTTCTAGGAGGGAAGGCAAAACCTTTTGAGAGACCAACCCTTGGGAGAAGAGGTTTACGCTGGTGAGGTGGTAACAGAGCAAGCGCCAACTCGGGTGAGGGAGACGGGCTGTCCTTGGCCAATATTGTGGTGCACCGAGGATGCTAATTAAAAACTAAAAGGCCCGTGAGGAAACTGAAGCTCAGACATGTCTGGAACCTGGCAAACATTAAAACACCTCTTTCTAGCAGCCTAATATGAGCTAATTTGCCCTGGGAATCTTTACAGAGTTGGTATTTGAAGTGTGTGACAGTGTCGTGCTCCAGGGCTTCAGGGTCCCTATGCTTTAGGGATCTTGGGGATCCAGGAGTTCCCCATCTGCTCCCCCGCAAGCGGAGAAGGCAGGTGCCTGGCTCTGATTCACAGACAGAGCAGGGCAAAACTTTAGCAGTTTTGTCTTGTTTTGCACATTGGTGAATCTGGAGGCGAGAGAGACTTGGCTGAACTCAATGGGGCTCTGTGAATCTGTCACGCTCTGTCTCCCCGAAGTCTGGTTCCACTGTGTTCCTTTCTTTTTCCCTCTTTTATCCTCTTGGGTGGAGATAATCCATCCAGTTCTGTTTAGCTGAAATTTCTCTTCCTTTGGGAATGTTTCCATATTCTAATAATATCTTTACCTTTCTTAAAACTTGCTTTCAGTCTATAGTAGGCGTATGAATATACACAGAGTGTGTATGTGTGTGTGGTATGTGTATATATATTTTTAGCTAGTTAACCTGCTGTGTACCATATAATGCCAAATTATTGATTTTTAGAATGATATTACTGCAGAAAAAATAACAAATTCTCAAATTTATTTCCTGTGTATCCCAAGGGTGCAGAGAGACGACTGAACTTGATCAAATTAGTGGTTTCAGGATTTTTGCTTGTTTTTCTGTTTCTATTACAAAATAGGCTTAAGAAAATGCACTGTATTCCCATTTGGGATGGGGCCATTTGCCTTCACACTACAGTTAAGGTAGCAGGGTGAAAAAGTTGTGTGTTGGAGCGGTACCACTCGCTGCGTGCCCAAAGCCGGTTGTTCCCTTTGCCCATCCCGTTACCCACAGAAACATGCAGCTGGTCCCAGCACCAAAGCAGGTGTTTTAGCATCTCCAAAGGGTCACTCTCCCCCTCTTCTGTGCGTTTCTTTTTCTGCGGTTTGGAGCTCTTCTGGAGTTATATCCAGACCCCTTGGAGGGCAGTTATCTCTCTTGTTACACTCCATGGAATGCGAAGGGTGCCAAGGCACCTAAGTGAGCTCTCTGGAAGCTGCACACCAGCTCGCAGCTTGAATGCGATGAATCCATCCTTGCGCTCAATTGCATCCTTACATCTTCTTGCTCCCTTTTCAGATTTTTAGAAGCTTTTGAAGATGTTGGAAAGGTTGGCGTAGTCACCCCATCAAGCTGTAGTCAGTCGGTGTAATGTAAACTTTCCAGGAAGATTCTCCTAAGCAGGTGAGACACAGGAAAAAAAAAAAAGAGCCAAATCTGAGCTGTCCGTGTTCATCTTGGCACCAAATAAAAGAATCGAGTGTCGCGAGCGATTCTGGACCCAAAACAAGCCTCAACAAAGAGGAGATTTGTTTTCCTTCTGTCTGAACCCAGATTTGAAATCCCTGATTTTTGGAAATGACTTGATGGCTCTCCACAGAAGGAGACATTCTTGTCCTTTCTCTGGCTGTTTGAATTGCATTAGAGTGATGACCTTCTGCAGTAGGCTAATGGACCTTCTGCAGCATGTCGTGGAGTTTGCATTAGCTCTTTTTCCTGATACAGTCTCTCTGCAAAACAGATATTAATACGTGGCTTCATGGGAAGCAGAACATAAAACCTGCTTTGTTGATTGACCTACTTGCTGAGCGCCATGCATCTGATTTTGTGCTTTAAAATACTGGTATGCGTCTATGTATGTGTAACCAAAAGCTGTTTGGTTTCATTTGATAATTTAAGTGGCAAATTAAAATCTATAAAGGGTTTGAAGGCAAAAAGATGAACAAGCAGCCGGTTACGGAGCGCTCCTTCCCGCTGACAGATGGCTGCAGCTTTCAAGCCCAGGTTCTCGAGAACAAATAGCTTGCTGTTTGTCTTGGAGGAGCTCACCAGCAAATGAGAAAAGTAAATAAATGTGTCTCTAGCGAGAATGGGGGTTAATCCCATGAAAAAAAGCTGGGGAATGTAATAACGTGTAAATTTTTTTCCTCCTCCTTTTAATTGCTGTGCATTACATCATTCTATCTTGCTGGTGGCCGATGTTTCCCTGCGTGAGGTAACCAAGCACAGTGACAGCAAGAATAATTCATAATTTGCATTTTACCCGAATAGCTGCATGGTGTCTTTAGTTTTGGTCTCAATAGCAATCATCTTTTACCTATTTATTTATTTTTAATACAGCAAATTGTTGGCACAGTGAAAACCTGTCTTGTCTTTTAGAGGTTTTTACCCTTGAATCTCATGGGGTGCATGGCAAGCATGAGGTTGGGCATCGCTGTCCTGAGCAGTCTGAGCTCCTGCAAAAAAGATCCATCCTTGGGCAAAATGTGTTGTGGAGCTGAAGGTCGGGTGGCCCAGTTTTGTGCAGGGAGCATCCAGGTAGAAAGACTATCTGCATCCAGGTTAGGAAGCAAATAAAATGGGTAGGTCTGCGCTTCTCTGGAGCGAAGCACCACCCTTGGGGCAGGGCTGCATGTCACCTTTGAAGAGAGGATTTCCGTGTGTGCTAATTCACGGCATTGCTCGCTTTCTAGTGGAATAATATTTGGCTACAGCAAATTTGCAAACTTTTCCAACGAGCAGGAAATGTGTCAGTTCTGAGGTCGAGCCCAGTGAGCCTCGTCGCCGAGGCTCTGAGAAGCCCCACAGTGGGCGGAATGTCTATTTTCTGCAATGTGTGAGGTCAAAGTGGCTGGAGTAATACTTTTAATTGCTTTGTAATTAAGGTTCATTGGGAGAAGCAGGAGGGACCAGCAGATATTTTTGTAAGGCTTCTTCCATCTGACACCTGCTTGGACAGACTGTTAACACACTGTGGGAAGCTCCTCATGGAGGAAGCTCTAGATGTGACAATAATTTGAAGCAAAAGTCAAATAAGAGCTGAGAGTTCCGCGGTGCTGTATGTGTGCTATCTGCCTGTACTTCATCTCATTGTTTAAAGCATAAATCTACAGAGCACTGAGCATCTTGCATTCCCATATTTGGGTTTAAAATGGAAGCAGGATTAGATGTATGTTATTTATATGAACGATACCTTCTTACTCAGCAGATTGACTGTCTGTGTTTATTCAGTGTCACATCTGCTGGCTCGACTTGAACAAAAAGTTTCTGGCTCCTGTTGTCTGTCACTTAGATCCAATACAATAGGGCCA